GAGGACTAGAGATTTTACTGTTTCATTTGGTTGTAGCATGTGGAGGAGCATTATGAAGGCTTTAATGGTGACATCACCTTTAGGGCGGGGGACGGAAGGAGAATTAGTTTTGGAATCACAAATGATATGGGGAGAGACCATTGAGGGTGTCGTTCACTAACATGTACAAAATCTCAAACCACGTGGGGTCAACAGTCAACCAGACCTGCAAGGAGCATGGAAGGGAAGTTTTTTGGGACTTTACTTTTAGGAGAAACTACAAGATTGGGAGATGGAAGAGTTCCAAAGGCTATTAGGGCACCCAGGAAGGTGTGTTTTTTTGCATGGTTGGCAGCGAGGGCAGGAAATCTGACAGCTAAGAACCTAAGGAAGAGAAATATCAGTCATGTTAGCTGGTATTTTATGTGCAAGTGTTCAGGTGAAGAAGTTGATAATCTATTGGTGCATTGCAAAGTGCCGTCGAGCTTCTGGAGGGTGGTCTTGAATTATTTTGGTGTACAATAGGTAATGTTGGGTACTGTAAGAGAGGTCCTGCAAAGTTGGGCTGGAATATATAGAAGGCAAAAGGCATGGAGGGTTGTCCCATTAGCTCTTATGTGGGTAGGAAAGCTTTTGAGGGGATTGAAAATGAGTTTTTGCACATTTAAGAAATAGCCATTTTTCTTTGATTGCTTTTTGGTGCAGCCTCAAAATTCCTCGTTGTATAGATGTTTGTGTGTCTTTTGTAGAGAATCATGTTTTGATGTAGATTCTCTACTTTTTGGTTTACCTCTTGTATATGGGAGCTTTCATTCCCCTTGTTTAACAATATTATTTACCTTATCAAAGAAAATAATGTGTCTAGGTATTTTTCTCTTAGGGATACAGTTGTGCACAATAACTTTATGTGGTATGCTACTTTGATATCCAAACCTCAAATTTTTTGAACCCTATTTTCTCATGTGCTTGTGTTTAGAAAATGCCTCCTAGATGTTGAAAATAAGCATATACTTTGAATGGCCACATCCTCACATTGGAATTGGTTGTTGCGGTGAACACTTTTTATTTTTTCCCACACCAAAAAGGCAAAAAGTATAGCTTCATGTTGAAGAGTTGTGACCAGCATCAGTACCTTTCGTGCCCTCCGTTTTTTCCTCTTTTCTTTCTATTGTATCCTCATGTTGGTCTAATTTGGCAATTACTATTTCAGTCTAGTTTTCCCTGCAAATCGTTGAGGTAGAGCATGATTGAAAATTGGGATGCATGGCTATTGCTATGGGGTCCATGAAACTGGTCTTTACATTAACATACTTTTGCTTGCATTATGTAGGTTATTGAATTTGTGAAGAGAAATATTGGCACATATACGCCATTACTAGCAGGAAATTCAGTCTACGTGGATTTTCAATTTCTGAAGGTATATTTATTTTAGTATAAATCTATAGACATATCATTTTGAAGTATCTCATCAACAAATAAATGGATTTGTGATAATTATATGTGCCATGTCGCATTACCCCGCTAGAGGCAAAGATTATAGGCGATTTCTTTCCATCTATCCAAACTTTGATGGATAGACTTACCCAACAACTGTGCTGGTGGGAGGTATCAATTACCCATGAAATTAGTCGAGGTGCACACAAGCTGACCTAGACGAATGGTTGTCAAATATATATACTATACAGGAAGATAGTAGGTAAGCGTCGTCCCATTACTATTTTTTGCCAACTAACAAAAACTAAGGAGTGCTTTGTCATTTTAACCAAAATCTCCCAAATCCATTTCACTCTTCCCCTCATCACCCAAAAGCCCCTTTCTTCTTTGCAATTTGATTTTGAGAATGCTAATTAATAGGAAAACAAGTGTTCCTTTATATCGTTTAGATCAAAGCCAGTTATGACAAGTGTATGACATATTTTTATTAAAAGTATAACTCTCAGCATAAGTAGAAAAAAGTGGGAAGCAGGTAATTCCATTTAACTATTTCAGCTCTGTTCCTTTAAATTTGACAAGCTTGAAAACTCATACAACTAATGGATTTAAGATTCCCAAATATGGTTGCTTTTGATGTCCATATAATAAATAAAATTTTGATTCTTTTCTAGTCGCAATCCCCAATTGCAAACCCATCAATGGCGATATTATCTTTATTCAACATCATTTGGTTTTTGTAATATCCAAAATCTAGGAACAAGGAGATATGGTGATTAAGATTTGGACATTTAAGTGAAAGATACACGGAGAAATCAAGGATAGAGATACAATGAACCATGAATAAGTAAAATTGAAGCTGAAATGGGATAACCGTAGAGAAGCAAGGAGCTTTTGGTTTGGGTGAGGTTTGGAAGAGGTAATTGGGGAATTTTGGGTTGAAATGACAAACAAGTCCCTAATTTTCATTAGGTGGCAAGAAATAGTAAGGGCTTCAGGGAAAATTTTAAAAGTTAGCAGGATGAAAGAAAATGTGAGGAGAAGTTTGTGCGGAAATAAATAGACTTATTTCTTGGAAAGACCAAAACATCCCTGCTATTAAAAAAAGGGGATGTGTTTATAAGGGTGTTTTGGTGAACTCCAAAAATGGGTACAATGCTAATATTCTACCTTCATGTATTATGTTAGCATTATATATGTATATATATCATATATATTTCTTGCCACGTGGCATAGTCTAGTATGATTTGGGTGTTTCTATGCAGTTTTACTCGATTGGCCTAACAAATTTAGAGCTTGTTTCTAAATTGTTCTCTTTCTAATTTATGTATGCAGAAATATATGCCGAATCTGGCTAGTCTTTTTTCACATGTACTTGTTGATGTTAGCAGTGTCAAGGCATTGTGTCTTCGTTGGTATCCAAGGTAAAACCAGTACAGGTTATTGCAGTGTACTATGTCTACTTTAATGTATTCCTTGACGGGTGGGGGTTGTTAAGTAGACTAATATTCAGTTTCTTTGGCTGTTGCATTTTTTATTTTGCATCTTTTCCATCTATTTAATAGTATTTTCCTGCTTTTTCATTAGATGGAAAAAAGGCTCCTAAAAAAGAAAACAAGCACAGAGCTATGGATGACATTAAGGAGAGCATAGCAGAACTCAAATACTACAAGGAACACATATTCAAAGCATCCAAGTCCAATAAGTAATGGGGCGCAAAATTTCCTATTTCCTGGTTATGGGTTCTTCTTTTAGGTTTAGTATAAGCAACATTACACTAAACAGAAAATGTCTGTTAGTATTTCAACAGGTAACCAACTCAGTAAGTTAATATCATCTTCTGTGGCCTGGGCAAAAGTGGATATGTGTGTGAAGGGAAATAACAGAACAATACTTCTTCTTGCCTTTCCAGTAATAGATGAAATCAGACTTGGTCGCAATTTCAGAGATACTGATTACACAATGAATTTTCGTTGTCAGTTGGTTAGCATGTAAAAGGAATATGCAAGGTGATTCAAATGTTGTTTAAGTTAACTTGGCAAATGGTTATTTAAAATTTCTCAACGAATAATGTCTTTTCTATCTGAACCTTAAATCTACTTTCAAAGCCAACAGAAGAGGGCTTATAAATTCTCACGTTGAAAGAGTTCTTTTCACATTTGCAAGTACTTAAAAAGTTCGTAGGAAGGATTTCCATGCTAGTTAATTACTATTTTAGAGAGACAACAAGGACTCAGCAATGATCTCCAAGATTTTATTGCTATTATAATAGTACGCCTGACTCATTTGCTGAGAGTCTCGAACACAGCTGAAAAGTCGTGGTCTCCCAAGCCCAAGCTCCTTGCCTTCTTGAATGCCTGGAGGCAAAAAGTGTACAATAGAATTAAACTTAAAAAGCCAACTAGAAAGAATTGTATGATGTTTAGATCAAACAAGTGAAGGCTTACCTCATTTGCAGCAGCTGCGACTGGCATTGGCACTGCATTCTCATCTCCGAGTGCAAGAGCCAACCTCATGTCCTTCTGCTGATGTTTCAGAGGAAATGCAGGTGGGTAGCTATTTTTTATCATGGCAGGTCCTTTAATTTTGAACATTGGGTTAGCAATGGCTCCAAGATCCTGTGAGAATGAAGATTTACTTGGATATATGTTTTAAAGGGAAACATCAACCTAGCTATGGCCTATGCTTACCAACACATCAAGAAGGGTATGAGGGTCCAATCCACTTTTGTCAGCCAATACAATTCCTTCCGAAAACGCATTCATCATACTGCACATTCATTCATAATAACGTAAGACAGAATTCACTCTTGGGAGAACACACAAGGAACATAAAAGTTGATTCAAAGAGCCACTGCCAATTACCTGCCCATTATCATATTAACAACAAGTTTCATTTTTGCTCCATTCCCAATCTGTCCCAAGAAAAAAGATTTCTTTCCCAAGACATCAAAAGCAGGTACTACTTGATCGTACAGATCCTACAAGGATTCAACTAAAAAAAATTAAATTGATAAAAGACCAACAGAAGTTTGATTATGGAAGGTTGTTTAGTTGCAGTGTGCTATGAAGTTCACAATTCCTCATCGATAATACAGGGGATCTCACTATGTTCATTTTTCACATTTACACATGCATATTTCAGTCTCCTCAAAGTTGCACACAACATAGTTGTTATAATTGAATAGAACTAGTTAGGCTGCACAAAATTTGAACGGACAAAGGCTGGAATGCACAACCAATGCTTAAAACCCAACTCATTAGTTATAACTTTTTTGGGAGCTATTTTTAATCTAAACTTGTAGGGTTTAGACAGTTTGAGATCTTAAGTTTCACCAAAACTTTTAAGGGTTTGACAATTCGAGATCATAAGTTGGGAGCATTTTTTCTTCAAACAATTAAGGAAAGTATTGTTTTCACATGTTGTGTTCAAACTTGGAATTCATGCAAAACCAAAGAGAAATATGCAAGAGTGTGGTTCCATTAAAGAGCTAAATAATTTTACCTTGTCACCAGCTGCTAGGATTACTAGTTGGCCATCTTCAGCTGGCTTTTTGCTCCCTGAAACTGGAGCTTCAAGGAAAGAACCACCCTTTGATGTAATGGCCTGCAATCATTGAATGTTAGTAAACTGCCACTTATCCCTTCCCTCAGTTTTTTGAACTCACATCTAAACTCTGGAGGTAAAGAAAAGCATGAACACCAAAGAGAGTCCATTTGGATGGAGATATTTGTATTTAACAGCGATTTCAATGTATGAGGTTATACATTTCAAAATGACATGTTTTCAACTGTTACTAAATAGAAAAAATGAAATGATCTCAAATTTGAGCTTGTATGTCCTAAATTAGGGAATCAAGATTCAGAAACAAGCTGAGTTACTGATAGTAAGCAATGAAGAATATGTTAGAATGAATGATTAAAGAATTAGAGTTCCCAAATGAAAGGAAATCCGGACCTGGCTAATCTGTGAAGATGTATCAGCATCAACGGTTGACATGTCTATATAGCCCTTTCCACCACATATCTGCTCAAGTGCTCCGTGTTTGTCAAAAACCACCTAGGGAAGAAACTCTGATTAGATAAAGGAAGTACAAATAAAGTTGAATAGTTTATATTGTATTGACATGTGTTTGTGTATTAACTGAAAGAGCTGCAGCTGGATCAGACAACATTGCAATTGTATACTTGCATTTCTTGATTACTGCTGCAGGAGTTTCTCCAACAGAGGCTCCATGTTGCACTAGCTCATCACACTGCATTCATCACAAAAATCTTGATACTCAATAATACTAATAAACACTTGGCCATGTCCATTAAAAGCCCCTTATCTTGCACAGGAAATTAGGAAAACAGACAATTGAAGAAGAACAAAAGCAAGTTGATAGTTATTATCTCATAAAATCACTTTTTTTTTGTTATCGTAGAAAATTGGAATAAATAAAGAAAAATGACTAATAGTTGAGTGGGCAAAACCTTAGTTGTTGGAATACATTCTTCACAAATTTTTGTGTGGTTAAATGGCCAAAGACTTTGGTGCTAGTTGTAAAGAGGGTAAGGTATGCGCATGTCAAAGAGTTTTGAGGGACTTTTTGGTAAAAAAATGAAGTGAGACAGATTTAGAGACATACATACAAGCATGTAAACAAAAACTGAAAAACAGAGGGAGTAGAACAGATGAGCGATCCATTTGTTCCATTCAGGTTTCACAACAATAATAAGATCGCATATTTTGGTCATCATTGTTAACAAAGTAGAAAAGAATAATACCCTGGAGAGAGTGCGATTCCAAACAGTAACCTTGAAACCATGGCGCAGCAAGTTCACCGCCATTGCTTTTCCCATAATACCAATCCCCAGAAACCCTATTTCCTCCATTCTTTTTTTCTCTTTCTTCTTTCTACACTGATAATTCTTTTCTATTACTCTTAAAAGCTTGTTGCAACTATTAAAAATGACTGCAACACAAAATATACAATTTAAATCACTTTCCTTTAATTAATTATTAGTAATTATTTAGTATAAATGTACACTTTGATATCTGCTTGTTTTGTAGTTGATTGACCACTTGATTCGTGCCACGTCAACGAGATTCTCTTCCACTAATTTTCTCTATTTCCTCATTCCTCCATTCGTCTTTTTTCCTCTTTTATGGGAGCCCAAAGTGACAACCCGTTTTGATTGGCTTAAAAGTTGGTCAAACTTATTTTTAAGTCAGTTTTTGACTTTTGGAAGTGTTTGACAAATATAAAAAATAACTTAAAATAAGTAAAAAATGACTTAATATAAGTTACGAAGTGTTTGACAAGGTAAAAAATGATTTAAAATAAGTAAAAAATAATTTAAAATAAGTCAAAAATGACTTAAATTTTTTTATTTTCATATTTAATTTTTGTTTCTCATAAAAATCAGTCTTTTTTTTAAGAATAAATATATATTTTTGTATTATAATATTCCACAATGCTTTACATGAATTTTTCCCTCGAAGAACTTATGCCCAATAGGCATAATGTCAATTGCTAAAGGACAAAATTTTAAAATTTTCCAACAAATCCTTTACTCCAGAATATAACGAAATTTTACACTTGACGAATCTTTCATTCTACCTCCTCTTATTACGACCTGATCAAAATTCTTCATATTTATAGTGCAAGAAGGATCTGACTAGAACGTCATCTTGTAGTTGACCTAAGCTGCACCCTTATTACTTGGGTGGGGCTTGGCCTCCGAACCGTACATGGCGGCCAATCATCACTCGCAACATAGTCTTTGATTGACTTGATTGATCTGAGTAGATGTTTACTGTGTGGGACAAAGAATTCAAAAAAGGAGAGAAGATTTTATCCACCAAGAGAGATAATTAGCCTTGTGACCAAGAAGTCATAGATTTGAGCCGACATGCTCTCGCAGAAATGTAGGGTAAGAGTACGTACAATAGACCCTTGTAGCCCAATCCTTCTCTAGACTCCACGCATAGTGAAAGCTTAGTGCACCACACTACTCCGATCTTAAACCATTTAAAGAGTAAAAATTAAAGGTTGCCTCATTTGAAGGGTATTCATGCAATTTCATCATATTATTATCCCAAAAGAAGCATTTATTGGCCTAATTGTTGGGCTTTGGGGTTTTATGCACAATATATGGAGCAAAATCTTTGCAAAATATATACAATATTCAACAGATATCATAAAATAATAAATTTTGGATATCTTCTTTGCAACAACTTATACCTTCGGGCTAAAACTTTACTTATCATTGTATATGAGTAATACGATCCAAACCATAAAATATAATCACATGTATGAACTAAGAAGTTATTTTGAAGTATGATATCATTGCATAAGTAAGGAAGTGTCAAATAATTGAAAGAACTTCATTCTAAGAAATTCAATTGAAGTACAATCCATATATATGCTATATAACCCATACATTGATCACAGAGAAAATGGAATAGTTATGGCCAAGGTGGCCCAATTCACGGACCGTGAAATGGACTTATGGGTCCGTATAATAATCTATGAGAGGAGTACGTTTTAAGACTTTCTAAGTATGGAGATATGTATAGACGTAAAATGGATATATTGTACATTGTACCAAGGTTGAGACCTCTCCAAAATCGAGCTATTGTTTAAGGAGGGGTAATGATTTACCACGCAACCTATATATAGACCATATGTGAAATCTATGGACACTCCAGAACTCTAGGTAAGACACCAAGAAATCAAAGTACAAAATGATTTACGATTGTAAACTCATCCACGAGCTATGTTCGAGAATTATAAGTGAGTTCTTTGAATTTCAATGTTACTAGTTAAGAAAATATTTGATTCATGGACACTATGTCAAATCAACGAGATGTATATGAAGCTCAAGCTCACTATAATTATCCCTCACCAACAATTATAAATATGACCTAACAATTTTTCATCCATTTTTTGACAACTCCAAGCCCTAGAATATAGAAATTATCTTTTGCACTTCCTTCCATATCAAGGTACACATATTTCATAATTTTACAAGTGGTTCTAACATATGATTATGAATTCTGAATAAGATTCGTTATTAAAATCACTAAAACAAATTCAAATTTTAACGACCACATTTTAGCAAAGAGATATGAATCTGGTGGCTATAAGTATATGTACTGTCACGACCCAAGCCTAGGGCCTAGACGTGACCGGCGAATGGGGAACCCGAAGGAACCCCAAACAAGCCTCATAGCGTATCATTACACATCCTTGGTCGCGGAAGCAAATAAAATGACCATAAGCGATAAGCATAATTAAGGGGGGAATCGGGACTAAGGGAGCAAGATAAACAAAAATAAGAACGATACAAAAATACCATAGATGAGTCAAGCTCAAGCATAATACACAACTTGTCCAACACCACCTCTAAACATGAGTACTTAGCGGGGGCCAAGACAAACTACCGGGCTCACCCTCATAGTCAAAACATAACTAAAAGGAAAAGTCTTATACATAGCAAAAGATCATAAGCAACGTCCCCGGAATGGAGGACTCACCAATAACCTTGATAGAAAATCGTATTAGCCACGCAGAAGAGGAGGGTCAAGCGGTGCTCCGGTCCCTACATAGTGACATCATGTAGGCATAGAGTATGCGTTAGTACGTTTGAATGTACTAAGTATATGGGATGCAATGCAATGCTACAATAGATGGACATCATAGGAAAATGCATAATAATACCCGTTAGATAGCACATTAATGAAACGATATATATATAATGACGCTTACATAAAAATCATATTTAGTGGGACATAGTACATATGTGGTGAGTGACCATCAATATAGTATTACCAAGGCCTACCACCCCCTTGGAGAGGCGAAAGAGGTACAAACCCCTCAATGTGGTTACCCGGGCCTACCACCCCCCGAGCTAGGGACCAAGGTACAAACCCCTCGATATGGTTATACGGGCCTACTACCCCCCGTACTAGGCTTGGTCAACTCACAACACGTATATAGAGAAAATCATATACATGTGTCCATTTCATCATCATTTCAATAATTATATAACCATTCGATTCATAAGACGTACATTGGACCTTCCATTTCCTAAGAATACTATAAATGGCATTTTATCAAACACATAATGGGCTATTGTTCATGTCAATGAAATCATGTACTTCAAGAGTACTAAGTCCAACCAATTTCAAAATCCATATAAAACAGCCCACCAACAACATACATATATATATACATATATAACAACCTTCATAATTTGATCATTGAGGCATGAAAACCATAAACATCATATAATCATTCCATTTCATGATAATATACAAAAATAGACCATAATAGGATGTGTAGTAATAATTCCATAATTCAAGAGTTCATAAATGATCATAAGGACCCATAAACTTGAAGTAAAATAGAGGATAAATGGTTGGACTTGTGGAAAGGAAGGTTTCCACAATCAACCCACATACCTCAACTTTGGAGAATTCTTGATGAAGATTGGAATGGAGAATTGCTTGAGATTGAATCTTGAATCCGGAATTAAAGCTTGGGATCCTTGAATTTGGTTGATGATCTTGGTGGAATTTTTGGAGAGGGTTTAGAGAGAGTTTTTGGATGTTTTGAAGTTAAATGACTAAGTATGGATATGTCCCCTTTTTATAAAAACGTCCCAACACTTAGAAAAAAAATTGAGGCGGGTGAACAGTGTTTTCGGCTACTGGAATTTGCATTTTCTGCCGGACAGGTTTTACGAAAATGGTCATAACTCCTTCATCCTAACTCGGAATGAGGTGAAACAAATTGCGTTGGAAAGCTAACTCACAGAGCTTTAATTTTGATAGTTTGAGCTCCTTCCAGTTCCTTGTGTGCTGAGAGATATGCCCCTTTAAAGTTGACCCTCAAAATCGCATTTTTTGCGATTTTCAAATTTTGATACGGTTGTTCTAAAATTCGGGTTAGACTCATTTCCCACTCAATTTGACCCCCTGAATAAGAATATGAAGTCGAATTTCCGAAATGATGCACGGATTTTGAGATATATGGAAATTACAATTATAGGTGTTTCCGAAACACATTTTTGGGCATTTTTGGGGTCGTTTCACTAAGGACTTCATCGAATGATTCGCCTACAATGTGGAGATCGTTCCTGATCGCTACTCCTTCGAGAAAATGAAGCAGAAGTCGACCGAAAGTTACAGAGAATTCGCATACAGGTGGCGAAAGGAGGCAGCTAGAGTTAGACCTCATATGTCAGA